ACACAGAAACTCCTGTCGCTCAGGTATGAATGGAACCATTCTAACGCTGCACCAGTAATCAAAACCCAGTGTTCTAGCCGGGATAAAAGGATACTGTGGTCCACGTTATCAAATGCAGCGGTAAGGTCAAGGAGTACCAGGACTACAGCCTGACCAGAGTCATTTGCCAGAAGAATGTCATTGCAGACCCTAACTAAGGCTGTTTCGGTGCCGTGTAGTTTCTTAAAGCCAGACTGAAAGATCTCAAGAATAGAATTTCCACTCAAGAACTTGTTTAATTGAGTGAAAACTATTTTCTCTAGGATCTTAGAAAGAAAGGGAAGTTTGGAGATGGGTTTGAAGTTTGAGCAGATTTAAGGGTCAAGTCCGGGTTTTTTTATTAAAGGAGTTACCACTGCATGTTTAAAATCATCAGGAACTACACCTGTAGCCATACTGCTGTTTATAATGTCAAGAATAGAGGGTCCAATGGAGGGTAGGACTTGTTTAAAAAACGATGCAGGGATAGGGTCAGCAGGGGAACCTTAGGGTTTCATATGACCTATGACATCATTTAGAAATGAGATGGAAATGGGTTCAATCTGGTTAAAGACTGATGTGGAGTGGACAAAGACAGAAGGGTCAGCTGTGGTGTGAGGAATCCGTGACCTGATCGACTCAACCTTTTTAACAAAAAACTGGCAAAGTCGTCACACGTAACTGCAGAGACCTCCCTGTTGGCAGACTGAGGCACGGTTAAAATGGTGTTAATGGTATTGAAAAGAACGCGGGAATGTGGCTGTTTGAGGCGATGATTTGGGAGAAATATTTTTTTTTTCTGATTTAACAGTGGCCTAGTACTCTTTGTAACATGATTTTAGCATGATAAAAGAAACGTGAAGTTTGTCCTTCTTCCATCTACGTTCGGTTTTCTTGCATTGACGTTTGGCTGTGCGAGTGATCTCATTCATCCAAAGGTGTGGAGTGCGCTTTGGATGCATAATTTTTAATGGTGCAACCAGGTCAAGCACCTTAGCACAGGTCTCTTGATGTACAGTGACTAGCTCATGGGTGTTCATGGAAGAGGATTCACAGACTGAGAGATAGTTCTTAGTAAAAGCAGATGAAAAGAGTGCAGCAGTGGAAGGGTTAAATATTCGACAAGGCCTGGCTGGAGGGGGAGGGGGTTTGGACTCGTTGACAAAAGAAGTGTTGAAAGAAATGGATTTGTGGTCGGAGAAAACTGCATCCCCAATTTCTAACTCAGTAACGGATAAACCAAAGGTTAATACTAAATCTAGTGTGTGGCTATGCTGGTGAGTTGGTCCTACAACATTCTGTACAAAGTTCAGAGACTGGATCAGATCTAGAAAGTCCTGAGTCAGCGGCTTTTCAGGGCAACAGACATGTATATTGAAATCTCCCAGAATCAAAACCCGATCATATCTGAGCAGAATCCAAGTTAAAAAGTCAGAGTTCAGCCATGAAGTCCTTATTATATTTGGGTGGCCTGTTTAACACAGTTAAGACCAGTGGTCTCAGATTTGTAAAGTTCGACCCGCGACTCCAACGACCGGAAGCCCAGCCGCAGCGAACAGGTCTGCTGTGGAAGCGCGACTCGACCCGTGGGACCGGGAAGGACTTAGGTGGATCGGCGCAGCGCCAGGACAGGTGATTTAAGATGTGGTCCTCGGTTTAAGAGGATGCCGCAGCAGCAGCCCAGCAGGCTTTGATCTTCACAAGACAGCCGGCCCGTTTTCCACGGTGCCTGGAGCGATGTCTTCGAGCAGGCAGGATACCACGACGGAGGTAAAAAGGAACGTCTTCAAGCAGAGGTTGGGGTCCAAGAGGGGGTCCAGAGTTATGATAATTATGATCAAACAAAGCGAGACTGGTGGCAGATAGTCGGAGAATTAGGAGTTGATGACGTTCATAAACCAGCAGTGAGTCGATGTTGTAGGTGAAAAATGACAAAAATGACAAAAACAGAAAAAATACAATCACTGCAGACAGAGGTGGAGGGCAGGCCATGCACAGTGGCACCATCTTCCCGGAAGCAGATAAATTCTGTTCTTCAAAAAAGCTTCTTTCAGCTAAGACAGATGGCTAAGCTCAAGTCCGTCCTGTCCATATCCGACCTTGAAAAATTAGTCCATGCATTTATTACAACCCAGCTGGACTACTGTAACTCGCTTTATGCTGGGGTCAGTCAGGTCTCTCTCACGTCTCCAGCTCGTCCAAAATGCTGCAGCTCGGCTACTAACAGGAACTCGCAGGTTTGAGCACATTACTCCAGTTCTGTCCTCCCTTCACTGGCTTCCTGTGCATGTCAGAGTTGATTTTAAGGTCGTTTTCACACCAGATAGTCCGGTAGACTCGGTTTGGTTCGGGACCAATATTCATGACCTTTTGTTTACATTGGAGCTGGTGCATTTGCATTCACACTGCACTGTGCAGTCGAGTCAACCTGTTGAACCAACCTATTCCCCCACTTGCCTGTGGGAGCGCTGCACCAAGAACTACTGAAAGAAACGACACAAAAACCTCTGAAGACACGTCTTCTTCTTCTTCTGTAAATAAAAAAAAAAACGAAGTGGCATCAAGTTTTAGCAGTTTTAGGAGTTATATTTTGTCATTTTTCAAAAATGGACTTAGCATGAGCAGAAGATGAGACAGAAGACCATGGAGAATATTGTTTTTCCACACAAGGCAGCTGACAGCTCCATATAAGAGAAATGCGTGTTTTTTACCCTGCGGAGCGGGGCTCGGTCTGTTTACATTCACACTACTCGAACCGCGCTGGAGTTCGCTTCTACCGGACCGAGACCTAGGTTTTAACCCGGGCCAGAGTTCGTCTTTTTGTTCCGTGACAGAGTTCGATGGCGCGTTCACACCTCCCTAAACGAACCGGACTTTCTAGGAAAACGAGCTGGAGTTCGATTAAAGCGGACTAAACAGGGCTGGTGTGAATGCACCCTTAGATTCTTCTGCTGACATTTAAGTGTGTTAATGGCCTTACAACCTCATACCTCTCCGACCTCCTTCATCCTTAAGCTCCTTCTCAGGCCTTGAGATCATCAGACCAGCTGCTTTTGGCCTAAACTCTGGAATAATCTGCCCATCAACATTCGACAGGCCACCTCAGTCTCTATTTTTAAATCTCTCCTCAAAACACATCTGTACTCATTGACATTTAACACAGTGTGATCTCATTTGGTATTTCGTTGTTGATGATTGTGTTCGTCCATTTTGCTTTTACTCCCTGACATTTAACGCAGGGTGATTTGATTTAGTATTTCATTGTTTCTCATTATATTTAATTGTTTTTATGCTTTTATTCATGTTGCTGTAATATGTTAATATTTGATGCTGTGATGTTTTTTATGGTAAGCACTTTGATAAGTTACTGTTTTAAATGTGCTATATAAATAAATGTGACTTGACTTGACTTATATAATACTGCAAAGCAACATGTTAATTTTGTCAAATGAATAACTGATTTGTTTTTTTTTTGTTATATTATATTTTTGTTTATATATTTATATATATTATATAGATAGATATATATTATATATTTATATATGTATTAT